TAAAGCTGGAATGGAAAGATCGAACGCCGAGCTGCTCCTTTGCTGATAAGTTTCGAACGAGAATCGTATACACCCCGAGAGAGGCGTGTAAGAAACTCTGTTGCTCCAGTTGTGTTCCCGTAACAGGATATGTGAACTCGCCGATGAAGAACGGCCATAGCCCGGCAGATTGCGCCAGAAGTTCAAACTCGAAGCTCCATGAGTAAAAAATCAACTCCGTTAAAAGGTATAGTGGTCTTCACATGTGTGCTGTTAAGAAAATTCGGCGGCTGAAAAACAATACCCTGTTGTTGAGGCTGTTGCTGTTGTTGAAATTGCAGTGGATGTTGCTGCTGTTGCTGTTGTTGCTGTGGTTGTTGATGTTGCTGTTGCTGCTGCTGTTGTTGTTGCTAAGCAGGTGAACGCCCGAAGATGTAAAAGGGGTGCTGCTGTTGAGACTGCGGCGGCTGCGTAAAAGGTGAGAATGCAAATGAGCTAGTACTTGGAGTTGGAGCTCCACGCATGTAACTTGAGCCGTCCAGGCTCATTCCACTAAACGCTGACGATATTGACTGAGTTGAAAACTGTTGTGTTGTTGCCTGTTGCTGTGTTGTTGCCTGTTGTTCTGTTGTTGCCTGTGTTTGCTGTTGTTGCGCTGCAGGGGTCGATGAAGTCCCTGGAGTATTAACAGAAGAAGGATTTTGTTGCTGCTGCTGCATACCGATGTGCCGGTGGAAACGGTCCAGAGGCTGAGAGACCAGTAGTGTTGAGGAGACAGGTACTCAGTAGTTTCGAAACTAGATCCGGTAGATTGTGCTGGTGTTGTTCCAGTCATTCTTGACAGTAGTCTTAATTCCAGAAAGCTCTAATACCATGTAATAATTTGACAAGTGTTGCAGGAGACTAAGTATAGAATCTGCAAACATGAACACTTGGAAAACCTCAAGTGTTACAGCGACGGAATTAATTGGGCTAGAAAAGGTACACTAGTCAATAGATTTTGTATTTTCAGCATGTATCATGTACATTTATCCCCAAGTACCCATTGTACCATGTGACTTAGGAGTGAAGCATCCTTAAACTGTATAGTATTGTACGTTTTATCGAACTGCTTATAGTGAGTCCACCACTTTGCTAGCGAGACTCGATGCGGACAATTAGCTCCCGATTCGAGTCTAGGTCTATTTTCTCTCGGCATTTCGCGATCTCGCAAACCTAACCTCCTAGTCTTTATCGACGGCATAACGTGAACCCCGCCAGGCTCATAGCAACGATGCGGCCTCTTGCTTCGCGCCAGAAAGATAGGATCGCGACCTTGCTTCGACGCGGTCATAGCTTCCGTCAGATCGCTAGAATGCTAGGGATAGGGAAGAGCACAGTTCAGAAATACGCTCAAGAGGCCTCTCAGCGCACCAGCAGCCTAGCGGTTAAGCCAACAGTCCTGAGGTCTGGCCGACCGCGCCTGCTCTCAGTACGTGACAGGCGCATCCTTGTTCGCGCTGTGACTTCAGGCGAGGTTAAGACTAGCGTAGTAGCCGCAAAGCTACTGGAAACAGACCACGGCATTAAGATCTGCCCCAGAGCAGTCCGCAACGCCCTGAAACTGTCTGGCCTAGTCGCCGTCCAGCAACCGAAGAAGCCATGTCTCTCCGCGCGTAACATCAGAGACAGACTGGATTTCGCCAAGGCCCATGTTGACTGGACCGTGGACGACTGGAAGCGGGTGGTCTGGTCTGATGAGACCAAGATCAACCGTTTCTGTAGTGACGGCCGGACGTATGCATGGATTCGCGACAGTGCGGCTCTTCAAGGGCAACACATAAAATAAACAGTAAAGCATGGGGATGGGTCAGTCATGATATGGGGGTGTATGACGTATGATGGCCCTTGATACATGTGTAAAATCGACGGTCGTATGGACGGGCAGCTGTATCGAAGCATCTTGCAGGATGAGCTTGCACGAACCATTGAGTTTTATGACCTTAATACCTTTGATGTTATTTTCCAGCATGACAATGACCCCAAGCACAAGGCCCGCCTTGTGCAGGAGTGGTTGTCTGAGCAGGAATATTCAGTCCTGCTGTGGCCCTCTTCATCCCCAGATCTCAACCCCATCGAGCACTTGTGGGCCCATCTCAAACGCGAGCTGTCCAAGTATCAGCACCCCCCCTCAGGAATGCTCCAGACTTGGGAGCGGATTCAAGAGATCTAGGAGGGGATAGATGCTGATCTGTGGAGGGGGCTTATTGATAGTATGCCTAGAAGGGTGAAGGCGGTGGTTAGGGCTAAGGGAAAATGGACTAGGTACTGATTTCAAGTGTGTCTTTTGCATAGTTTGAACATGGCACAAACTGTCCGAGTGTACTTGTGTGTGTATGGATTGTGCCCAGACACATTATACTGTATTTTCAGGGCTAGTTCCCACGTGACAGTCATGTATAGGCATATGTCTAACTCTTCCTTAAAACCTGGCAATTAATAAGCTGCATCTCTAAACATTACACACGATTAATCGCCTTCAGAGGCTGAGATATGGACAATTTCTTCCGTCGCTGTAGCCTAGGATCTATACTGGAATCGTAGATTAGTAAGACAGCGGAAGTCTTAGAACTTGTAGAGTAATGACCAAAATATTCTGGTGAACAAATTAAGAACAAGTGCAGAATCAAGTCCAGAACCACGTTAACTAAACAATGAAGACAGGCTACTTTTATATCTAACAGAAGTACATGTTCGCTAATGTACCTGTTGACACTATCACGCTATGCGCCCTAAATGACACTGAAGAGACGCGACTGTTCGCATGACTGAAACGACTGTCCTCATGACGAGCGCTATTTGCTGACGTCATCCTACGGATTTATCTTCTACAGTAGGATTCGACACTATCTATCGATAATCGACTTACTGAAATGCTAAGTATGTATCACATCACAACACTAAGGGACGGGGCCGCGGGGCCGCTAGGTGACGGGGCCGGGGGGCCGCTAGGTGGCGGGGCCGCTAGGGGACGGGGCCGCGGGGCGACGAGGCGGCTAGGACCTAGGGTGGAAGCGCTAGGGGGGGGGGGGGGGGGCTACCTACTCATGATACCATGTTCAAGTGAAAGAATGTCTAGAACACGGCATACAAGGGAATATAACCTAATGGGTTGTACTCCTTTAGGCACAACCCTATATAGTCTACAGAAACATACAATATATATTTGACAAACAACCCCCCTTTCTTGTATCTTGTTCTCTTCCTAATTGTCTCCCTTTTCTCTTGTAACTCCCCCCCCCTAGCTAAACCTCTCGCCCTTTCATGGCTTCCTAGCGCCTACTTAGCTATTTAACAATGACGTCCGACCCACTGTTGATCCTACGCGCCAAAGTATCAGATCGTGGCACCCCAAATTTCACGAAACCTCAAGAGCTTCGCCAATTCGCCAATGAGCTTTGCTCACGCCGTGTACGAGCCTGTTGCGGAAATTGCGATTGTCAAGTGCTGATTGCTGGGTTTGCGCGAAAATCTTGGTGACTATCATGCTGCTATGCTGCACGTTGATTTTGCGGATCGAAAGCTGCAAATTTGGAACTCTACTATATCGCGCACAAGTCTGTTATTGAGGAGCCTTTTTAATGCGTCCGGAACGAACTCGCAAAAAAAAATGACATATGATATTTCAGCCGCAATCCTCCAAAACGGAGGCAATCTGCCGCGCCCTTAATCGTCATCAGAAGATCTCCTGACGAGGTCCAAATGGAGGGTTTGAAATGGATAGTCTTGAGAAAAGAAAATCACATCACATAGTAAAGAGCCCTGTAGGCCTCTCATAAGGACTAGCGTACGAGCATACCTAACACAAGAAGTAGCATTTGTTCTATAACGCAGTTTCATACGATTCAACTGGTTTGCCAGTGCCCACTGGGGAGGAGCTCGTCGGTCGGCAGTTAGTCAAATGGAGTCAGCGTCAAGCTCTACTGGTCCGCATTTTTGTTCGTGAATCTTCACCGTTGATTGTTCAATGCAGCTTACGGCATCACTCTCCACCATCCGATGGAGACTAGAACTTTCCTCGAATAAACAAGATAACTTGTTGAGAAGTGTTTGCTGACACCCTCGCGCCCATTAGGCCAATGGGGTGACAGCGGGGCACTGCGAAATAACCGAGGAGTGAGCGTGTGGATTGGGGTGTTTTGTGGTGCACCTAAAAAAAGCAACCTTCACAGGATTCCCCCTCCTGTCAGCCCCTCGACTCCTTTTTGGCTGCCCGACTGCCTCCCCCATGAATCTGCCGATTACTGTACATTTTCCCCCTAATGTTCACCAACTAGCTTTTGCCAGTGACTCGGCGCCATCAGATTGGTTGCGAGACAACGATGATTCGCGCCAAGCCATCGGGGTTCGTGGTTTTTTTTTTCCTTTCCAGTTTTCCAGTGTCCTAGATCCCGTAAAGGAAGGCTTACCAGATCCGTTATACGAAAGTTTTTAGAGCCTAGTGAAAATGCCGTATAATACTAAGTGTGACAAGGTCCTGATTACATTTGAATTTACTGGAAAAGTAGGGGCATGATGAACCAGAGTGAATGCAGAAACACACTGTAGGTCTGTTACTGGTACAATCAGAAACTACTGCCCCTGGGAGAATTTGCCCCTTCAATGCAAACCTGAACTTTCTGTTTGCCGCACTAATATATTGCGCGGAACCGCGAATCCTTTTTCGGCCTTGCTGGACAGTTCCCCTCCCCCCCCTGAACCACACCGCACCACTGCCATTGGAAAACCCTCCAGCAGTCTTGTTGTCATGTCACCCACTCCCCCAAGGAGAACCCATTCCCCTGACACTGCTCGTTCCCCCAAACGAAATGCTGCTCCTGCTCGCGACCTTCCCCCCATCCCGGGTGGCAGCGCGGCATTCCCTTTCCCGCACAACAAAAAAGGACGGGCGGGGCAGGAGGGACTACCCCCGCCTCACGCTAGCCCAAGCTCGTGCACCAGTCCCAAAAGCTTAGGAGCTTCTATTTTTCTTGATCCTCATTTGCAACCTCCACTCCCCCAATCCACTTCTAGGGTCCAGTCTCCTCCCTCGTCTATCCTTCAGCATCTACTAGTCTCGTTTCATCCTTGCGATTCGGTCTGAACGTTTGAATTGGGATTTGTTACACACCGCGGCCCTACCAACCAAGCACCGAATACCTGCAGTTGTTCCGCGTTACCTTCCTAATCTCTAAATCGGTTTTTGTTACTGGCCCACGCAGTCACCGAACTTTCTCGTCGACGCCATTGTTGGTTAATTCGCATTACCACATCGGCTTTAAATCGCTAATTGACTCGCTGCTGAAGCGTAACGAAAGACCACCATCGAGAGATATCCCTACATCGCCTCAAAGAGGATCGATTAATCCCAATAGGACGGCTCTTCGTGCCGTTTAATCCGTGTCTACCGTCGCCCACGGTCGTTTGACTCACAGGGCCCTCATTCTCCGCTGGACTCTCTGTCCCGAGGTCCCGAGAGTCGCCATTCCCAGTTTCGCGGAACGCTGTCGCGCAAACGTCACTGCGATTCAAGATGTTTCTCTGCGGCGGCTCGACCTTTCGTCGCGAGCACGAGCTGGAGCAGCAGCAGCAGCAGCAGGAACAACCGCAGCAGCAGGCTGGGCTCAAGAATCACCCCTCCCGTCAATCGCACCCCAACACCGCGCACTCTAACCCGCTTGCGCGGCAGCAGCAGCAGCAGTACCACATGTCACGCGCGTACGTGCACCAGAACTACGGCCAGCATCAGCGCCAGCACCAGCATGACAACCAGGCGCACGCGCAGGCGCAAGGCCACGCGCAAGGCCACGCGCAAGGCCAGGCGCACGCGTCCGCCGTACCCTCCGGAATCAACGGCTACGCGCGCCATCTCTCCAGCCGCCTCATGCCGAAGAAGCGACCCAAGGAGTCCGCGGGCTTCCGCCAGGGCGCAACCGTCGGGTGCGCGGGCAGCGCGCGTGTGTTCGCCGCAGGCGCTGCGTCTGAGCGCAAGGTGCCCGCGGAGGATTCCCCCGACGGGGGGGCGGAGCAGCCGGCGCAGAGCTTCATGGGCGCAGCGACCCGCGGAAGCGGCGGTGACAGCAAGCTTCCCCGTAAGCCTGTACTGGCGTCCGCTGCGGCGGCTGCTGCGGCCATAGCGGCGGCGAAAATGGCGGCCTCCGCAGCTGCTGCCGCCGCCGCCACTGCCTCCGGCGCAGACAAGTTGAACCATCCCCGCGCGGGGGGTGGACAGCTCGAGGACGAGTCAGCGGCGGCGGCGGCGCAGCCGCTTCCGCCGCTTCCGCCAGGGTTCCGCTTTAAGCCTACGGACGAGGAACTCGTTGCGCATTACCTCGTTCCGCGCGCGCGCCTCGCGGACGAGTCTCTGGTCGGGCTGCCGTCTAACCCGCCAGTTCAAGCGGGAAGGCTCACCGGGCTGGCGGATGCTAGCCGTTTGGGCGTTAACCGCAACGCAACCGCCGCCGCCGCCGCTGCGGGAGCGTCCGCGGATGAGGGGAGGCGGGAGGGGAAGTCGCAGCAGCAGCAGCAGCAGCAGCAGGATTGCGAGTGGATGACGATGATTACGGATCTGGATGCGCTGGACATGGAGCCTTGGGAACTCCCAAGTGAGTCTTGCTGTAACGAGGATCGCTCTTGCCTGTTGTTGTGCCCCCTCCACGCACCTTTTACACGCACTCCTTCTCGTGTCTACTTCTTCCCGACGCGCAGCCACAAGTACGGCCACTCAGTACTCATCCGTTTCCTGTCCCCTTCCGCTCTTCCTCTCTATCCCCTCCCCCTCTCCCCCCTTTCTCCCCCCCTCTCTCCTCCCCCCCCCCCGCAGTGTCGTGCTGCATCGGCGACAGCGAGTGGTACTTCTTCTCGACGCGCAGCCACAAGTACGGCCACTCGCGCCGCACCAACCGCTGCACAGCCAACGGCTACTGGAAAGCCACCGGCAACGACCGCACTGTGCACTTTGAGCCCGCCTTCCCTGGCACGGCTGTTGGCGTGGGCGGCGGAATGGACGGAGGCATGGGGGGAATGGGCGGCGGTGTGGGGAAGCATTTGTCCCGCGCGCTGCTGCTGAGGCGCCGGGGGGGAGGCGGAGGGGGAGGGGGAGGGCTGTTCGGGTCATGCTTGGACGGGCCTGCGGTTGTGGAGGGGGAGGGGGAGGGGGAGGAGGGGGAGTACGGGGAGGGCGCGGGGGGGCTGGGCGGGGACGGGGCGGAGGGGGATGGGACGATGCCAGGCATGGGAGGGCCAGGTTCGGAGAACGGACATTACCTCCCACCGCACCAGCGTAACCATTTTTACGGTAACCAGTCCCCGATGCTGAACCAGCAGCAGCAGCAGCAGCAGGCGGTTTACCCCGGGGCGGGGGGATATGGCTCCCCTCACATGCTCCCGCCCCATGCCCATGCGCTGTCGCATATGCACGGGCACTGGTACAACCGCGCGCATGGGCAAGGGCAGGGGCAGGGGCAGATGGATGGGGTGGTTGTGGGGATGAAGAAGACGCTAGTATACTACGAGGGGAGGGCTCCCAGGGGGAAGCGCAGCGAGTGGGTGATGCATGAGTATCGGCTGGAGCAGCGCAGCAGCAGCGGCAGACGCCCTGTGGTACGTCCGTGTGCTGCTGCTGCTGCTGACATGGTTCACGTGACCCTGATGATGGTTCGTCATGTGTTGCTGTTCTGATAAAAGGCCGCTCGATACCATACCATACACTCATATTCCTTTACTTCCCCTACCCTCTCCCTCCTTGTTCGTTATGTCCAGGGCTCGCTTGTGCTGTGCCGCGTCTACAACAAGGGCACCCACCCCTCGCTCGCCCAGCTGCCCCCTCGAGCCATGTCCGCCCCTCTCCCTGCTGCTGCCGCCGCCGCTGCTGCTGCCGGCATGGTTCCCGAGATGTGCATGGGTATGGGTATGGGCATGGGCATAGGTGGCATGGGGATGGGCATGGGGATGGCGTCCGAGATGGATGTGAGCATGTGTGATGGTAGCATCGGCATGGATGGAGAAATGGAGGGAGGTATGGGTGATGTTGCTTATGGTGATGGTAATGATGATGATGACGACGGTGACGGTGGTGCTGGTGATGGCATGGGGATGCCTATGCCTGGGATGGATGCGCTACCATCCCCCACTTCTCCTGCTTACCAGCCCCATCATGCTCCCGTGGCTCCTACTTCTGTTGCTCTTGCTTCCGCACCAACCGCCGCCGCTGCTGCTGCTGCTGGTGTTGCTGCAGAGTTCTCTGCTGTGGGCCCCAGGAGCAACAGCAGCAGTGGGCGGTACAGCAACTCATTCGGAAACAGCGGGGAGTTGGTGAAAGGAGCAGCAGCAAGGGCAGGCGAATGCGCCAGTGGCTTGAGTGGCTTCAGTGGTGTGGGATGCCATGTTGCTGCTGCCACCACTGCTGCTGCTGCTGCTCCTGCTCCTGTTCCTGCTTCTGCTGCTGTTCCTTCCTCTGCTGCTGCTGGTGCTGTTTCACAGGAAGAGCCTGTGAAAACGGAAGCAGGGGAGGGGAAGGGGGAAGGTGTTGATGATGCCGCGTACATTGCTGCAGCAGCTGCTGATGCTGCTCCTGCTGCCGCTGCTGGTGCTGCTGTTGATAGTATCACTACTGCTACTGGAGTTTGCGCTGCATCGAGCCCACGTGCTGCCTACATTCCACCCTGGCTAGACGACGAGGAGGATGAAGGAGAGATTTGGCTATCCCCATGCGCGGGCAACACCCCTCTTTCGAACCACACACCGCTGTCCTGCAGCACGCCTCTATCAGCGGCCGCCGCAGCAGCAGTGGCTGCAGCTGCTGCGGAAGCAGGGCTGTCAGGTGCCGATCTTGATGACTTTGATCTGGGACTCGATCTGGACTTTGGGGATTTTCCCATCATGCCGCCGGATGCTGCTGCTGCTGCGGCACACAATGCACAGGGGGAGAGTCTTGCTACTGCCGCGGCTGCTGCGCCTGGTGCTGTTGACGGTGTCGCTGCAGGAGTAGATGATATAACGCATGGTTGCCTCACTCCGTCTGCTGCTGCATCTATTGCTGCTTCTGCTTCTGCTTCTGCTTCGGCTTCTGCCTCTGCTCCTGCTTCTGCTTCTGCTTCTGCTTCTGCTTCTGCCTACGCTGCTGTCTCCGCCATTGCCTCTGGTTCTGCCTCTGCTTCAGATGGCGCCCGGGACGTGTCTGTCTGTGGCATGGATACTTTGCACCACCCGCCTGACTGGCTGCTACCGCCAGCCATGCAGCCATGCGGGTATGCTGAGGATCAGCCACACATGCCACCGCCCAGCTCACAGCTTACTTCAGCTGTTTTTTCTCCCGGCGCCAATATGAGCAGTGCTTCACCATCGGCACCAACGTCTGCAGCAGCAACAGGAGCGGGATCAGCATCAGCAACATCAGTGGCAGCAGTGGCAGCAGCAGCGGCAGCAGCAGCGGCACCAGGGAATGGCACTGCAGCGGCTGCTGTGCCTGCACTCCTACCCTGCGTCTCTGCTGTCAACAACAACGCTGCTCCGGCCTCGGTAACAGCTGCTGCTTCTTTCCCTCCTGCCCCGGTTGCTGCTACTGCAGCGCCTGCTTGTGAACAGCAGCAGCAGCAGCAGCAGCAGCAGCAGCATGGAGAAGGGGAGCACTCCCTTGACCACCATGCACCGTTTATGCAGTATGAAGTGAAAGACCTGGACTATGACCTCTCGAGCCTGCTCGCCGAGCCTTCCCTCGACTTGCCCGTGCATATGCATTCGGGCATGGGTATGGGAGGGGAGATGGAGGGAGGGCAGCACAGTAGCATATGGGACGCAATGCAGGGGGATGTGTGGGGGGAGGGGAGAGGGGGGATGGGGACAGAGGGGGGAGGAGCAGGGCCCGTCGGAGCCAGAGGAACACGTGGAGAAGGAGGAGGGGGGGGGGGAGGAGGAGCAGGAAGAGCGGGAGGAGCAGGAGGAGTAGGAGAAGCAGGACGAGGAGGAGCGGGAGGTGTAACAGAGTGCAGGGTTGGGGGTCTGGACATGAGTCCCTTTGACTGGTCGGATCTTCCCCCGCACGCCCTCTCCGCATCTGCCTCTCCCTTCAAGCGCAGCCGCAGCATAATGGAAAGAGAGGGAGGAGGAGAACGAGGAGGAGGAGAAAGAGGAGGGGGGGAAGGGAGGCAGGGGGGTGGGGAGGGGAGAAGTGTAGAAGAGCCTGTGCAGGGGAACAATCCTGGGGGGAAGATGATGAGGGTGGGTACTGGCGAGGAGAGGCAAGGCGTGAGGGGAAGCGGGGGAGGAGGGGATAACAGTGGTGGTGTTGGTGGTAACACCAGCAGCAACACTAACACCGCCACCAACCCCAGGGCCAGTGCTAACACCAAAAGCAGAACCGCGAACAACACTACCAACATTGCGAACAACACCACTCAGTCTCAGCATCTCCACAGGCCCAGCACCAGCAGCATCAGCAGCGGTTACAGCAGCGGTGGTGTTGGCAGTGGTGGCACTGGCGGTGCTGGTGGTGGCAGTACCAGCAGCGCTAGTGGCCGCTACAACAGAGCCCCTCTCGCCAGCATTCGCATCAGTGCTGCTTCTGCTCCTGGTGCTGCTGCTTCCCCTGCTTGCACTCCGGCTGCTTATGCGTCTAAACCCAGCAGTCCTGGCCGATTTGGCGCTCTCGCCAATAGCAGAATGCGTCCTCCAGCAGCAGCAGCAACAGCCTCTGGTGCCAACGCAAAATCTGCCTCGTCTTCAAGACCCGCTAAGTCGGCAAAGTCTGCGGCGACGACGTCGGCAGCATCTGTGGAGGAGGCGTCTCGCAGCAACATCTGCATGACGCTGCGGCAGATCATTCTGCAGAGAGGGAGACCTCTTCCCCCGCCTGGCACCAGGAGCACTAGCCAGTAGTGTGTGACTTGCGCCAACTCGAAGGTCACCAAGCTGTGGAGGAGGCGTCTCACAGCAACATCTGCATGATGCTGCGGCAGATTATTCTGCAGCGACCAAGACCTCTTCCCCGGCCTGGCACCAGGAGCACTAGCCAGTAATGTGCACGTGCATGTGCTGCATGGCCAGTGATGTACAATGTCTTCCTCCTCCCCCTACTCCCCTTCCTCCCCTTCCTCCCCTTCCCTCACCATAAGTGGCCTGCTTCCTGCTCCACTCGGCAGCAGCAGCGGCAGCAGTAGCAGCAGCAACCCACAGCCAGCTAGCCATCCAACCTTCCCAATGGCATGCAGGGAGGTTGTGCGGCGTGCGCTTTCCCATCTGCAATAATATATGAGACTAATAATAATGTCCACGCATGCCTTCCATTGCCTGGCTTCCGTAGCACAGCAGCAGCCAGGATCCACAGTACCTACCAGGTCGCTGGGGAGGGGGACGGGGAATGGAGGGGGATGGATGGCATGCAGATGGGGATGGGGATGAGGGGATGGCTCTAAGCTGGCGGTTTCTGCTAACCATAGTGTACCTAACTACCGTACCTCTGTGACTATATCTTAGGAGTATGTAGTTTTTTTGGATGTTTAGCCTTTTGTGTACAATATTTATGTTCATTTATACAGTGGTTTGTTTGTGACTTTTTGCTACATCATGTACCGGAGCAGGGCTTCCACTACATGGTGCAAGAAAGCAAATCATTTTGAAAGCTTGCTTAGGTCCTCCTGTGGAGGTAGCTATCAAAATTAGAGAAGTTATATGATAGAGTGAGAGTACACACAGATATACCTAAGTGTTGTACCCTCTAAGAGGCTACCCTATACAGTCTATACAAACATGACAAATACACATGTTTGACACACCCCCTAGACTGCATAGGGGAATGTCCTAAACAAGCAGCTCAGGGCGGCACTACTAGTCCAGCCACTGGGAGAGGACACAAGTCCAGTCTGAGTATACGTATAAAGGACAGTACAAAGTCAAGGTCCTAGCAAGTGAGAGGCTACAGGAACTAGACCAAGCTGTACACAGTGCCGCTGATGATCTTTAGGCGCAAGCGCCTTCGTAAAGATATCAGCCGTGTTGGCACCTGAGGCCAAGTGTACTACGCGAGCCTGACGTCGCTGCTGTAGCTCACGCAGGAGGAAGTACCGCAGCTGAATGTGCTTTGCTCTGCCCTCGAGTCGAGGCTCTTGACACAGGAGGATCATGGCCCTGTTGTCAGCGAACAGGACCGGGGCAGAGCTAGGCCGCTCACCTAAGTCAGTGAGCAAGAAGGTCAGCCAGCGGAGCTCCTGTGCCGCCATGGCACCAGCATAGATCTCAGCCTCACAGCTGGACTGCGCAACAGACGAGGAGCGGGTAGCTCTCCACGAGACGGCACCTGAGCCAAGGCTGAAGCAGTAGCCCTGGGTAGACCTGAGTGTCTCAGCGTCGTCTGCCCACGAAGCGTCTGAGTGTCCAGTAAGGACCACTGGCCTGCGTCCTCCTAGCACTAACCCCATGCCCGATGTACTAGCAAGATAACGCAGAACCCTCTTAGCGGCAGACCAGTGCTGTGGTCGGTGTCTGCCTGTGGCCACAAAGCGAGCCAGGATGCTGAGAGGGTATGCGAGATCTGGGCGAGTGCAAGTCATCAGGTACATGAGGCAACCCACCAGCTCTGCGTAGGGGCCGCTGGGCTCTACCAACTCCTCAGACACTGGAGCGGAGAGTCTGTGGTCTACAGGCAGAGGGGTGGGCTGTGTAGAGGAGAACTGAAGGCTGAACCTCTGAAGGACCTGGCGCACCAAGTGTGACTGAGTCAGGGTGATGGTGCGCGCAGCTCTGTCCCTGGAGATCTGCAAGCCAAGGTAACGGCGCAGTTCTCCAAGGTCAGTGCACGTGTGTCTCTTCAGCAGCTCTGCCTTCACGGAGGCCAGTGCGTCCCTGTCTGCTGTGGCAAAGACCAGGTCGTCGACGTAAACAAGGATGTAGAACGGAGTCTGGCCAGCACGAACGAAGAGTGAAGGGTCTACGGAAGACGGAAAGAACTGCAGGTCAGCAAGCGTAGCACGGAGAGTGTCGTGCCACTCACGGGGAGCCTGGCGCAGGCCGTAGACGGGGCGCCGCAGGAGCCACTGGGTCCCAGGAGGGAAAGTACCAGTAAAGCCCTGAGGACGACGCAAGTAGACCTGCTCGTGTAGGCTGCCCTGAAGGAAGGCAGTGGAGAAGTCGACGGAGTGGAGCTCGTAGTCACGCTGAGCAGCAAGGTGTAAAAGAACCCGAAGAGTAGTCATCTTCGGGGTCGGAGCGAAGGTCTGGAAGAAGTCTACCCCCTCACGCTGACTGAAGCCTCTAGCCACATAGCGCGCCTTGAAGACAGTCGGCTCTCCAGGAGGGCGCTTCACCTTGAAGAGCCAGCGGCCATCGACTACGTTCACCCCAGGCGGGGGAACTGCGTCGACGAAGGTGCCGGTGGATCTCCAAGATGCCATCTCCTGCTCCATGGCAGCTATCCACTGAGAGGCCCAAGGTCCCGAGGTCGCCTCAGCGTAAGTGCGAGGGGTCGGGATGTCGAAAGCGTCTGGGTCACCCTCAGGGACTAGCAGCATGGAACAGAGATGGGGAGCAGCCTCAGACAGGAAAGCAAGCTTGAACTGGCGGTCCTCCAGGACGTCACTGGCAAGGGCAGGAGCACCCCCGACAGACGGAGGACAGGCAGGGTCAGAGACCAGAGTGGTGGCGTAGTCAAGGCGGCGGGTAGAGGCGAAGTCAGCGACCGCAGCAACAAGAGCGTCAAGGCACGAGACCGGAACAGACGGGTCGGTAACGAGAGAGGCAAGGACCCGAGGAACAAGAGGACGAGCGGCACGAAGGTAGTCAGACAGCGGGGGGGGTGCAACAACAAGGGAGGACGGAGGAGGGGACGGGACAAGGGGAGGACGAGACGCGTGGGAACGAAGCAACATAGGGTGGGAGCGCAAGACAGGCGAGGCAGGACGAGCACGGGAGGGACGGTGAGACCAGACGTGCGACGGAGGAGTCGGGTCCGGAGATAGGGGAGGGGACACAGGAGGGGAACGAGGAGGAAGACGGGCCGGGGACGAGTCCGGCGGAGGGAACACAGGGCCGTAGACGGGAAGAGGAGGAGACGGGCGGAGAGGAACAGCCGCAGGGTCAGGGGACGGAAGGCCGAGCAGGCGAAGGGCTGACACCGGCGGGGACTGCTGCTGCGGCGGCACAACGGCGAAACCTGGACCGCAAGCTGCTCCTCGGCTACCACCGGCACTCTCTACACCAGCACCCCCAGAGGGACCACCCCCAGGGCTACCGGGACGAGCACCCCCAGAGTCAGCGAACGGGTGCTGCGACGGCGGCGGCGGCGGCGGCGGCGGCAGAGGCGGTGGAGGGGGGACTGGGGAGGGGACGCCAGGGGAGGGGCGGCCGGCGAGGACTGAACAGGAGGGCCACCAGAGTCAGAAGAATCCTCAACCGGGTCCACCGACGGAAGGGAGGTGACGTGGGACACACCAGAGGGGGCGGGACGGGGAGGAGGAGGAGGAGGAGGGGCAGGGACGACCGGGGAAGGAGTGACCAGGAACAGGGGGGGGGTAACCGGGGGACCACGGTGGGGGAAGCGACGGTAGTAGGAGACAGACTCGTCAAAGGTGACGTCACGAGAGTGAAAGAAGCGGTGAGACGGCGGGTGGTAAAAGTGCCAGTCGGGCGCGACCAAGGGAAAACCGAGGAAGACGCAGGGAAAGGTGCGGGCAGTGAGCTTGTCCGTGCCGGAGGCACGGACATGAGCAAGGCAGCCCCAGACGTGGAACGCAGACGCGTCACCAGGAGACCCAGTCCAAAGACGGGTCGGCGAAACCTGCGGCTGCTGAGGGTGCGGCCACAAGTTAAGCTGGTGAGAAGCGTAGCGCACAGCGAACGGCCACAGAAAATGGGGTGCACCGGCATGGATCATGGAGGTGCGAGCCACCTCCATGACCAAACCGATGCGTCGCTCAGCGACCCCATTCTGCTGTGGGGAGTCCGGTAGGGTGAACGTCTGGGTGATGCCCTCCGCACGACAAAAGCGACCAAGGACACCTGAGGCAAACTCGCCACCACGGTCTGAGTGAAGACGCAAGACAGGGAGACCGCGGTGGACACGCGCAGAGACAAGCCAGGGGATGAGAGCTCCAAGCACGTCGGCCTTGCGCTCCAGGGGAAAGACCGTGGTGTAACGAGTGAAGTCGTCGACAAGCACAAGGAAGTAGCGCTCTCGACGCGGCCCAGGGACGGGGGCGGGGCCCCAGACGTCCAGGTGCAGGGTCTGCAGCGGCGCGGCAGTAGGGGGAAACGAGGAGGAGTGAGGGGCACGGCGAAGCCGACCCTCGACACAAGGCGTGCAAGGTGGGGCTGGGGAGGAGGGAAACGCGGGGAGGGAACCTGGGAGACCAAGGACAAGACCGTGCTGGGACATGTGACGCAAACGCGGGAGTGCAGGGTGACCTAGGCGGTGGTGCCAAAGGAGGGTCGGGTGAGTGAGGGACCGACAGGAGCAGGCAGCAGCAACCTGGGTGAGCGCTCCAGCTGGGGGGGTCACGGTGTCTAGAGTGAACAGGCCGGACACCGGGTCCCGGGGGAACGTGGACAGGGGGGCACCAGTGGCGGCCTCGGTACAGACAGCATACCGCTCGTGACCAGGGAACGTAGTGGTGACGCCAAGGTCCTGGAGGCAGCCGACACCAACTAGGTTCCTGGAGAACGAGGGGATATGCAGACCTGTGAGAGTGCCCGAAGGAACCGCCGGACAGGGAAGGGTGGTGGAACTGCGGGCGACTACCGGACCGCCGGAGGGGTCAGCAAGAGAAACGGCAGCTGGAACAGGAAGCGGCGTCAGGATGGTGGAGTCGCGGAAGAAACACCGAGAAGCGCCAGAGTCCAAGGTGAAGGAAAGCGAAGCAGAGGCGTCTGGCGACGGAACGACGGCGGAAGCACCAAGACTACACAAAGCAGGGGATCCTACGCCTGACGCAGCAGGGGAGGCTAAGGTAGGCACACCTACACTAGGCAATAGTGAGTAATAGGCGGGAAGCACACTAGAGTCATCAGCATACATCACATGCAGAGCAGAAACAATGGCATCCATGTCCATATCAAAAATCTGAATCTTACGACTAAGCAAACTGTGCTAGTCCGGGAGGTCTGGCGACGGGCCGAAGCGCTGACGAAAGAGGTCGTCCACGCGACGAAAACAGCGGGGAGTGGAGTGACCGAGCTTACCGCAAACGAAGCCGCGGCGAGGACCGGTGTGGATCTGGTACTGACAACGCCCGCCGCCAGAGCCACCACTCGGCACACCACCACGCGCCCGGCCACCGCCAGCGCCGGGCCACCCGGGCGGGAGGACACTCGTCTGCCGCGTCTGCGACGGCTGCTGCGGCTGCTGCGAAGGCTGCGACTGCGGCGGCTGCTGCGGCTGCTGCAACTGCAGGGGCGGCGGCTCAGCTGGACTGGGCAGGGCCCCCTCGTCCGCTCCAGCACCAGACGACCCGACCCCACCACTACCCCCTCCCGCACCCCCGCCGCCGCCGCTGCCGCGCCCAACCTTGGGCCGGCGGCCCTTCCCCGAACGAAACTGCGCTGCAGCAGCAGTCTCAGCCA